AGTGTATCAATCACAAGTAAAAATAGATAAAATAAATCAGACTGTTGCAAGTGAATACCTTTATTGTGAAGGAAAAAACCCCAAACCGAATATTGAGAGCAGAACAGTGTTTGCTTCCTAGTCTTTTGCTGGTAAAATGTGTGTACACCTTGTGGTAGAAGAGGTTTAAGGTGAAGCACAGATAATACTTTTGCAGCTTGTTCAACAGTTTAAATCAAATTTCCAGTCTTTGAGCCAACAGTACAAGCTGTTACTGGCACAATTTTAATACAAATTAATAAAGGCTTTATTTGGCATAGTCACTGAAATAGGCCTTGGTTGTATTGTTTCAATTATGTCTACTTGGTCCCTAGTTTTTTATTGCCCAGTATGGCACAGAAATGTAGCAGAGATTAAGAATGGGAGAATTCAGATATGTGCTTGTGAGCCATGTGCTGCTGTCTGATTTACCTGAAAATAAATTAGTATTTGAGGTACTGCAATAAATTGCTTCTTCAGCAGCACTGGAGGGAAGAATTCGTTTTATAGTCAGGAAGAAAACAGTTCTCATTTGCAAAAATCCCAAACCAGTCTGACTTTTAATAAAGAGCTATGCTTCATTGTCTGCTTGAAATTCTCACAGGAAGCACTGATCTGATTAAGGCAAAATTTCTGCATTGTGTTGTGGGCTAAGTACAGAAGTTCAAGAGACATCATTTGAGTGTGAAAGCTTGCAAGAAAAGCTGTATTTTTCTTTTTAATTTATTTTGTTAGTTCTGGAGGAAATGTAATACCTAACTGACTTTTGGAATGGAAAAGCTGAGGCATTGCTTGGTGTCAGAGAGTTTATGGCTTCCCAGACCCTGTGTGGGTGAGAGCATGAGCAGAAGATTTTCACCATGGTCCAGTCAAACCCTGGTGGTGAGATACCCGAGTGTGGGAGTAGCTCTAAACAAATGGTCTGTCATACCTGGGTTGATTTTGTGTTTTTCTGTTGTTGGATTTTTTTTTGTTTTTTTTTCCATTGCTGCCACTTTATCTTCCACTGTCTTCAGCACTGACTAGGAAAAAAGCTGTTTCTTTGAGAGAACCACTGTGAAGTGGAGGTGCTGCAGAGCTGTGCTGTGGCCTCGGCTTCAGATCAGATGGACTTTGCATGAAGATGAGAAGTTCTATTTTGTAGTGGGAGACAGGAAAGGTACTCAGCTTCCACTCTGCTTGTCATCCTCTGTGCTTTGGTATTTTTTCACTGATACAAAGCCAAAACAGCTTTTAAATGAGGCCTGAATGCACTTACCCATATTCTGGACTGTGTGAAGGGCTGCTCTGCGTTTACAGCCAGGTACTGGCACATTGCAATGGGGCACGCTGCAGGTTTGGTAAGGGTGGTCTGAGCAGCAGCAGCACCTTCACTGCATGGCACAGGGTGTTTTCAAGCACTACTGATATGATAGGGAGCCTGGGTAACTTCAGCTGGTAACTCAGTGCTGAGTTTCACAGAAGCAATCACACAAGAGCAGTTCCTTCTTTCAGCCTTCTCCCTGGCTGTAAATGGTCATTTGGAAAATACTCTGAGGTGCCTCTGTCCTTGGATTCAGTTGTTCTTTTGGCTACACTAAGCCCTGTGCTTCCAATTTGAGTAAATCTAGTCTAGTAACCCTATGCATAGGGTTATGTCCACTGACATATATTCTCTTTGAAGTGGGATTTTTTTTTTCTTTCAAATTTAATGTAATCTTTTAGTTATTAAAAAAATACAAATATAATGCTTGTTCTGTCCCTACTAAGGAGGCAACTTTTTTCTAGGTTGTTTCATGATAATATGTTTTTCCTTACTGGTATAAAGTTGTTTTGTGATGAAATCAACATCATTCTTGTTCTGTTAGTGCAACAGCTCAAGCAGATGATGCTGTTTGTGAACATCAATCAAACAAAACTACTGTTAACATTGGTATTTTCTCTCCAAGAAAAGTCTCTGCTATCACATACTCAAAGCTGGCATGTATGATTGATTTGTTACTTGTACAGTCAGTTTTCAGGTATCTTTCAGTTTTTGTTGTTTGTTTTTAATTTCAGTTGTTCTGTATAGCTTGTTTTCCTCTCTTCTATTGCAGGTGGAAAGGTTGGGTATTCCCCTGAAAAGACCACAAATTTGATCTGAAATCCTGCCCATCTAGGATCTTGAGAATTAGCAAGAAGCAAGGACCATTTGGTTAAGTATTACCTGCAGACTTCTTTCTCATCAGTGTTTGAGGGCAGCACAGCTTGTTCAAAGCAATAGCAATGTAGCAGGGTCATAGAAGGCAGGATTTGTATAACCTTTTAGCTTATACAATGCGAAGTAAATAATTTTGAGCTTGGGTTTTGATTATGCTTAAGCTCTACTGGATGACTTGGAGGCACATTTTATATGTTCCACAAAGCCTGAGGCACAGGTAAGCCTGGGAGCTGGTGACCCAGGTTTCAGTTAGTGCTTCTCCCTCTGTCAGTGGCTTGTCTACAGAGAAAGTATGTCTAGAAATGATTGTAGTCAGTGGGGAAACACTGGAGCTTCAAGTCCTAACCTAAGTCTAAACCAAGACAGATTCTTTGTGTCTTTGAAGTGGCTGTCCTCCCATAAATCTTCAACAGACGTTAGTGACTAGATCAGGGAGAGATCTGTATGTGGCCCAATTAATCCTGCCTGCATTTGAAGTAGAAGAAGAAATACTTTGTAGACTGTTTGTGTACCTATTCTAAAGTTTTCTGCCTGCAGATTCCTGTTCAGCTCTTATTGTAATACTAAAAGCGAGGAGGTGACAATGAACATTGGTGATGCCATATGAGAAATATTTAAATGAGGGACTCTTCTGGAAGGCTGTAAAAAAGAGAACTAGCCCTTTTAACAAGAATATGCTAATTGAATTTGTCAAGACACATGTCATCAACAAAACATTGAGCAGAAGGGGTGGAAAAAAATGGTGGGAACCCTCTGCAAGTACCATGTAGTCTCTTAAGGCCCCGTCACCAAATGAAGCACAAACTCTTGTAAAAAGACAACTGACAGAGCTGAGATGGGAGCAAACTAGTACAGGAATCTTGGATTTTCCTCTGTGCCACTTGCTGCTACCAGAGGCAGCAGTTACTTTATTTGATTAAGCCCAAGAAAATCTCTGTCTAAAGCTTAATTAGACATTCTCTCTTTTATTCCAGAAAATAAGAAAGTTTTCTAGTCCCTGGGAAAGCAAAGGAGGAACTTTATTGCTATCACAGTTAAACTTACCTCTTATGTCATGTTCTTAAAAGGCTGGAAATAGAGGATGGGAAACATCCTCAGCTATGAACTGGGTTGTCCTTTACAGACATCCTTTTTCTTACTCCTCTGTGCTTTAGGCTATTTTTTCTCCCTGGGAGCTTTCTGAGTGGCTAAAGGAGGATGAGGGTGACAGAAGCTCCTTATCCTGAGCCAAGAATGAGCTGTGTTGCTTCTCTCCTTGGAGTCCTGACTCCAGCTGCTGCAGCAGATGTTTTGTGCAGAGATGTGCTCTCTTTTGAGGTGCCTAAAACTGTCTTAATATTCTGAAAAAGTTAATTTGCAAAATACAGATCCTTAGAGCAGTGTTGTGGTAATGACAGGAATACCTATCAAGACAAGTTAATGGTGCTTTATGTTGCATTACAGTTTTTGTTGATCTGTGGGGAAAATCACTCCTGTTTTATTTTCCCCCTGTAGTGGCATATTGAAGCTGTTTGTTAGCACAGATAAATTTATGTTGGAAGGGACCTCTAGTGGTCATCTGGTCCAGCGTCCTGCTCAAAGCATGTTCGACTAGATTGGGTAAATTTTTCCTTGTATCTGATTTTAATTTCCTGTTTCCCAGTTTTTGTGTGTGCCTCTTGTTCTCTTACTTTGCACCTTTGAGAAGTCTGGCTTTGTCATCTCTGTATCCTCTAACTGTAACTGTAGACAGTACTAAGGTTCCCACACCCTTCTTTTCTTTGGGCTGAACAAACCCAGTTCCCTCTGGCTCTCATTCCTCCTGTGCTTCAGCTCCCTGACCATCTTGGTGACCTTCCACAGGACTTGCCTCAGCATGTCTATGTCTGTCTGTTATTGGGGATATCAAAACTGGATACAGTACCCTCAGATGCAGTCAGGTGAGTAGAGAAGAATAAACACTTCTCTTGACCTGCTGGCTGCAGTCTTCTTAATTCAGCCCAGGACACATGGTCTTTTTGCCACAAGGCATATTGCTGACTCATGTTCAGCTTGTCCAGTGCAGGTCCTTCTCTGCAGGGCAGCTCCCCAGCAGTCAACTCGCAGCCCATACTGCTGCACTGGGTTCTTCCCTCCCAGATGCAGGACTTGGTATTTGCTCTGGTGGTCTTCATGAGGTTCCTCTCACTCCTTTTTCCAGCTTTTCCTGGTCCCTCTGAATAACAGTCTGCCCTCCAGCCTCTTGACTGCCCCACACAAGATTTGTGAACTTGCTGCGATTTCACTCAGTTTAATTATAGTATCAGTCCCTGAGGGGTGCCACTGATAACTAGCTGGACTTTCTGTAGATAATATAACCCTTTAAACCTCATTCTCTGGCCAGTTCTTCACCTGTATTTTCGTGGCAGCATCATCCTAAGCTGCTGAGGCTTGTGGGCTTGGGTGTTTACTATTTTTAGCTATAAAACCTATACTCAATCTGAGGAGCCTGTTTTTGATACTTCGTACGCTTACAGACATCTCTGTGGAGGTCAACACAGGTTCTTTTCTTTCCATTGAAGAAAAGCTCTGCATTGACTGGTGGTTGGCCAGCCAAGACTCAGGAAGGAATGAGAGGGAATGTGACAGCCTTGTCTGCTGAGTCAGTGATGCTGGGTTTTAAAGGAACAGATGAGAGAGATGCCTTTTTAAGCATGACTGGCTCCTCTTGGGAACAGTGATGAGAAGGAGATCCTTTAAATAAGGAGTCGCTATAAAAGCAAAAGATGCACTAGAAGTATGTAGTCTCTATGAATGCATTTTGTATCCACAGGCATATATTTATTGAGCTGCAGGATGTCTGCTCTGAGGCTGATTTCTAACAGAACCTCCCAGCAAGCCTTATCTAATTCTGATTACACCTGGGAGTACGAGTACTATGAGTATGGACCAGTGTCGTTCGAAGGCCTGAAAGCTCATAAATGTAAGTTCAGTAGAGACATAATTTATTGCAGCTGAGCTTCTCCATCTTGGTGTTCCTGTTCATCATTTATCACTAAAAATGGTAAAAAAAAGATTTTTGCATTTTTTTGATTCTCAGCAATTAGAGGTATTGCTCTGTTAGATTATTATAATTGCTTATTATTCTTTGTCTTTTTCTTGACTGCTTGTGTATGACAGAAACAGATTTTTTTAATTTTTTTTTTTAAATTTGTCAATACTGAGGAATGTCAGACTATCAGGAACAGTTTATAGCAGCAAATACAGCCACTGCTGCTTCTGGTGACTACTAGGTATGATCCATGTTATTTTGTTCTTGCTCTCATGAATACTAAAAAGGCAGTGGTGAGCAGCCTTGCTGCTTTTGTTTCTCTTAATGGTAAACAAATTTATAGCTTTTAGAAGACTTAAAACAAGAATTTTCTCCAGAAGAAACTTCTATTGTTGGGACTTAATACTGAAACTCTTTTACAGTAGAAGTAACAAGTGGAGCACAGAGGCCAGAGAGATGAAAAATATGGGTAGTAATTGAGAGAAAAATTAGTTAGGACAAGCACACCTGGACCAACATTTATCTAAAATCTAGACAATGGCTTCAGCTAGATTTCTCTATTTTTTATTATTATATTTTAAGGAAAGGTGATTGTGGAAACAAAAACAAAATAAAAAAATAACAGAGACTAACACAGAATTAATGGATGTGTTTTGCAAACACTGCCAAAGAGCAGCTAACCATCTTGCTTCTTTGTTTCTGAGCTGGATGAAGTTATGTTGGAGAGGTTAAAGGAGGGTGAACTCCAGTTTAGGTGATACAAGCTGGCAGTGACACTTGGCCAGCTGGAGGTGTGTGATTTTTTTTTTTTTTCATTTATTATTATTTATTCACTTATTTCTGATATGCAAAGCTATTCTACTCAAAATGAGAGGGTGCTGTTCTGAACCGTAATGTAAGATGAATTCCACAAGAGAAGGCTGGAGGCCACTTCTGGATTAATGTTGATTTAATTAATTGTAGGCAAGGGGAGGTTAATGCATATACACAGGAATTCAGAAGCCTGTTTCTTTTTTGAAAGCAGAGAAATTTTTTTGCAAAGTGACCTGTGAAGAAAGATACTGACAAAACAATTTAATACACAAAAAACCCTTTCTTAAAAAAAGTGGAAGTGGGTAGAAGATGAAGTGTTCAAATGCTTCAGTCAAATATATTAATGTAAAAAAATAATAATAAAAAGAGTGCTGTTTTACAAGCAAAGAGTATGATCTGCCTGAGGAGAAGTGAAATAAGAAAACCCAGAATGCTTTGTAAATAAAGCTTTAGAAAGGAAATAGACAAAGATAGCCAGGAGATACCTATGATGGGCAGAGGTAAGAACAAAATCCTTTTTTTGTGCCTTTGGAATTGATGTCAGTAACATAAGAGAGAGGTAAAATAGGTAGCAGTTACCAGGGGAGTGAGAACTGCTGCCAGGATGTTATGAGTCTGTGTTAGGAAGCAAAGGAAGGCTGATGCTGCAACTTGAGAAAGTCATAGATTACTTTCCCAATCTATTTGTAACTCGGGACAGTGATTATAAATGTAGTCCTATGTGTCATACTTGTTTGAATATATGTTGTGTCATGTGCTGTTTATTTTGAAGAAATGTTTAAAAGTTAGCAAGTTTGGTTAATTTGTACTTAAATGACTGAGATCTACATGAAATAATAAATAGAACTCAGGCCAACTGCTTTAATTTTGAACAAATCCAAATAACCTACTTGATACAGCAGAAGGTCTGAAGTGTGTCAGGAGCCACAGTAAAGGAAGAAAGATGTAGCTTTAGGCTCAGTAAACTTAGGAGTTGTGTTAGGCTTGCTATTCAGTACAAATTGCTGGCAAGTGTGATTATTGTGGGGAGCAGTATTTTATCAAAATCTTGATTTATTTTTTATATTTTAAAAAAAAAATTTGGGTTTTTTCCCAGATTTTAATTATTTTTTCTTAGTTGATGAGTTAAGTGTTGCAGCTTGATCAATATCATCTATGGGCATATTTATTAGATGTGTTGATCAGACTTTGCCTTCTGGTTATCAATGCAGCTGCATATCATTGAGACGTGTTAGGTACTAGTAACTGGAAATGGTTAAGTGGTAATTTTTAATGGGAGTATTTTATTTTTTTAAATGAAATTTTCACATACCTCAAAGCCCAGTAGGATGGTAGATGATCGTGAGCTACTGTGTATTAGTAACGACAATCTTGAACCACTGAATACAGGTTTTGCGTATAGAATTATTCTGAAAATAATTTAGGGCTCAAAAGGCATGGAATTACAGAAATAAACTCGTGCCAGAATGCTTTTGGCTTTCAGCAAAAAGTATTACTCCTTCCCCACCCCCATCATGGAAACCTATACTCACATCACCCCCTAGTTATTTTACAGAGGGTGCTGAGAGGGGAAGATGTGGTAGAGGAGAGGTGGAATAAACATTGCAGTGGGAGACTTGAAACTTAAACCTCCTTAGCTTCCCAGAAAAAGAGATTAAGGGTAACTTGATTGTGATAAAGTATTTTCACAGGGAGAAAATCTCCAGTTGCAGCAGGCACTTTTACTTTACAGAGAAAGAGCAAATGGTTAGAATTGATTTCCAGCTTCCAGATCTGCCTTTTAGCGCTGACGATATTTCACAGTGGGAGTGTGATTAACTGTTGGGGTCAAGCACCAGCCAGGAGAGCTATTCCTTGTTTTCTGATGTCTTTAGTTTGTCCTGTGGGAGATTTGGCAGGCTGGCTGAAGTTCTGTGCTGTGCCTGCTGCACTGAGTTGAACAGATCATTGTGGAGCTTTACAGTCACTGAGGATCTCTGAGGTTCAGTAGCAGCTGTCTAATGAGAGGTTAAGGGTAAATAGGACACCTGTCCTGATCTAGATTTCCCTCTTGCATGTTTATGTTATTTAAAAAAAAACTTTTACAGTTTTGAATATTTGCATAAACAAAAAACAACTAACTGAAATAGCAGGTCAGAAATTATCTACATACTGTGAGTCTGGATTGTTGTCTGGAAGTATGGAAGAGTCCCACTTGGACCTATCTTGTTCAAGTTCCTGGAAGCTTTGGGCTTCCTTCAGGGGCAGCTGTGGATTAACTTTGAAGTGCCAAGTGGACATAGATTTGTTTAAAGTAGGACAGGTGGTTATCCATGGGTCCATTTGTTATAAATGAGGACAGTAGGTACATCTTATGCATACAGGCAAAAAGCCATGTTTTTCCCAACTGCTCTTGTGTTTGGCTGTTGCATTGGTGTTTTCCTCTGAATTAATAGGTGGTTTGACTTTCTGTCCAAATCCATTTCGCTTCTCTGACAGATACCTGTATGCAAGTTGGAAATCCAAAAGAAAAATTATTCAAAAGTGTTTTGTATATGTTGGTTATTTGATATTTTTTGATGCAGAAAATACTTTCATACATGGTTCCATTCACTTCAGAGCCCTCTATTTCACCACTGAAAGAAAGCTAGATCTTCCTAAACCTACTGTGTCAAAGAAATCCATCACACCCTAGGAACCTAATGGCCTTGGGCAGAAATAATTCACTGTGAGGGTGGTGAGACCCTGGCACAGGTTGCCCAAAGAATTTGTGGATGCCCTCTCCTGGAAGTGTTAAAGGCCAGGTTGGATGGGGCTCTGAGCAGCCTGGTCTAGTGGGAGGTGTCCCTGCCCATGGTAGTGGGATTGGAGCTAGATGATCTTTTAGGTCCCTTCCAACCCAAACCATTCTATGATTCTGTGAAAACAGCAGGAGTTCAGTTCTACAGGGACAGAGGTTTTTGCTCAAAATCAAATAATCCTCCCTCTCAGTTCTAACACTCAAGCTGTTTTCAAAGCAATGCTTGGAAATGGGCCAGGCAGCACAAATGGAACTGCTTTTACTTTACTAACCAAAATAATTAGGTGTCTCCCTCTTTCAGCTTGTTTCTGTTTTGTCCAGACATCAGTAAAATTTGGACAAGAAATGAGAGCTTCAATGGCAGATTTCTGTTTAAAAATAGATAATGATAAATATGATCATCCTTCCTCTTTGCCACCCAGGAATAAACTGCAGTCTTTTGGGAGTTGCTGTTGTGCTGCATGCAGAAGGAGATTTTCTGCAAGTTCAGGTGAAATACTGATCATCTTGTTTTCTCTTTTTCACCAGATTCCATTGTGATTGGATTTTGGGTTGGTCTTGCAGTTTTTGTCATCTTCATGTTTTTTGTCCTGACCCTGCTGATGAAGACAGGAGCACCACCCCATCAAGAGTGAGTCTGAAAACTGGAGTAACAAACCAGAATGCTAAGTGGCACATCTGTTGTTTTGCAGCCCCCAGACAAGCAGCACCTGTGCTGACACTGCACTGGCTCAGCACTGTCTTGTCCTAATCCATTCTTATGAATGGGTGCAGTCTGTCCTTCTTTCAAGTAATCTTTGTTCCAAGCACTTTTGGGGGATCAGTTCTGTAGAACTGTTGTTAATGTGTTCCCTATTTAGCAAATAGTCAGTAGGCATGCAGAAGGGAATAGCTGCAAATATGCATTTTCAGGCTGAGAGAAAGTTGGTGGCTAGGCTGCCAAAGCATTACTGCTCTGCAAATAAATGGAGTCATCCTAGGTAGGCTAATATTGTGATGGAGTGGGAGAAATTTGGATGGTGACAGAGTATATACAGATTAAATGCAGTGCAGATGTTAAATTAAGGAAGCTGAAGTCTGGTGGGTTTCCACATATTTATGTGTTTGAGTCCAAAATGTAGATAGTGGTAGTATTTACAAACTCTGCCCTTAACCCTGTAGCTCCAGTAGTCTCAGAATGTCTTAGTTTCTGCTGAGAAGTTCCAGTAGATGCTGAAGTGCAGATCAGCTATGCATTTGCTTAATATCAGGCTCCCCTGGAAGTCACAAACTAACCTTTTTTCTTGTTCTTTCTGGCTGATAAATGTGTGATGACCATGCCTTCCCTCAACCATTTATCTGCATTTGCACAGCATGCAGGCTCTCAGTGTCCCTTCCTCTGAGAAGGTTTGAACCAACATCTCATCTCAGGCTTGTGTGCCATAAAGTAGAAATAAAAAGCCTCTCTGGATAGTGAGATGAGTTTGCAGGCAGGTAGCAATGATGAGGAGCTGATTGTGAAAGGCAGTTTAGTGCTTATGACTTCCTAAAGCAGCCTGCCTGTTTCTGCCTATTGAAGGCCCTTTGATATTTAGTTGTATGTAGACTGGCTCTGAAAATTCATGTGACAGCACATCTCTAGAGACAGGGTCATATTAGAGAGGACATACATACATTGTGAGCCTCTTCTGTGCTCCTAAATTTTTGCTTCTGTGAGAAGGAAATAGAGGTAGAAGAATGCAGCTTCCCAGAACTGAGTTACTGGTATTTTTCCCTCCCTTACACACTCTCATAAAGTAGCCAGACCTTGTTCCCAAATATATTTCAAGTCCTTGTGAGTGTTGGTGTTCTGCCTTTTTTTCCCTAGAGATCTTGCTTCTTAGCTGAGCACCTGAGTCTGCATCCCACATGAATAATTTGAGAGGAAGAAGTGATGAAGTTGTCAAATAAACAATGAAGATATTTTAATATGAATATTTGTCAGAAGTTTGGGAAACCTCTGTCTTAGGTCAACTTACACATCCAGATAACCTGATCTGAAGTCAGAGTTGGCCTTGCCTTCATCAGATCATTAGCCTGGACACCTCCAGCAGTCCATTTCAATATAAATCTTAATATAATTTTTCTTCAATTGCTGAAGAGAATCCAGTTATTCCTTTCAGTAACTGTTTTAAACTTCCTTTGCTGCTCTGGGAGCTTTGTGTTTGCATGCTTCCCTGCTTACCATGTATGTTGAGTTGGCACCTTTAATGATTTTGAGCACTGTTTTTTGAGACTTCATAACCAAACGTGTGTAGTACTGGAAATAGATCATCCAGGAGTACAGCAAGGGCAGTGAATATTGTTGTTTCCTCTTATTTTCGATTAATGCACATAAAAACTGGAGAACAGAAATAGCTACCTGTAAAACTAGTGCAGACTGGTTTTAGTTTGCCTGCATCTTCTGTCTTTATACCTGATCGGATTCTTCATGACACATCTTTTCATTAGTGGGCTGTCTTGCAGCCCTCCTTTAGAAACAGATGTTAATGGAATTCCTAGGTCTTGGGTAAAAACCAGCCTGATTGAGGGATGTGTCTTTGATTTCAGTTAGTAAATTTAGCAGTTTTTTAAAGTGCCCTTAACGTGGGAGGGAAGTGTAACCAGGTTCAGATGGTTGGATCCAAAGTAGAATACTCTGATTTTTCTAGCAGTATGTTCTGGGATCAATAGAAAGGGATATGATAGCATGTACTTTTCAAAATTGTACAACATGTTCAGAATTGGGTACATTCTCAGACCAGAACAGAAGTGTCAGGATATGGATGGAGAGAGGTAAAGTACTCTTGTTCATCGCTCAGCAGAAAATAGTAAGCTATGTTTGTTTCTACATTTTAAAACATCCTTAAAAAGGCATTTGTGCAGCAAATGCATGTGTTCATGTAACCAATCTGTGCACAGTATTGGCTGATGTAATCTCAGTTTCATGCAGCTATTGAGGCAGGTTGTACAATTAGTTGCTGAAATGACCAGGTGAAATTGTTTGGTTTTGGTTAAGAATTCTGTGGTGAAACCTGTTTGGAGAAATGCAGATCCTCTGAAAGAAATGGATATATGTATGTGTTTGCTGAAAACTTACTCAGGAAGGTTTCCCAGGTTCAGGGTAACAGTTACAGATTAGTACTAAGGGTGTGTTTAGATCTCTCAAGTTCCCCTTGGGAATCTCCCCTTACTCAGCTCATGTGAGACCCCACCTGGAGTACTGTGTCCAGTTCTGGAGTCCCCAGTATAGGAAGGACATGAAGCTCCTGGAGAAAGTCTAGAGGAGGGCCACAAAAACTATCAGAGGGCTGGAGCACCTCTCCTATGAAGACAGGCTGAGAGAGTTGGGGTTGTTCAGTTTGGAGAAGACTTCAGGGAGACCCCATAGCAGCTGTCCAGTACCTGAAGAGGCCACAGAAAAGCTGGTTAGATATTAGAAAGAAATTATTTAGTGTGAGGGTGGTGAGACACTGGCACAGGTTGCCCATGGAAGTTGTGGAAGCCCCATCCCTGGAAGTGTTCAGAGCCAGGTTGGATGGGGCTCCCAGCAACCTGGTCTAGTGGGAGGTGCCCCTGCCCATGCAGGGGGGTTGGATGTAGTTGATCTTTAAGGCCCCTTCCAACCCAAACCATTCTGTCATTGTGTGCCAAACCTTGCTGTTTTGGAGGACTGGCTACTTATTCCTTTCCATGGTTTGCCAAGTACCCCAGGTCACTTCAGGGAATGTTGAGAGGAGTTGAGAGGAGATACAAAGGAATGACAAGTGACAGTCCCAAACCAGTATGCTCCTGTTAGAAGGGTGTACTGGGCAAAATGGTCTGTACTGTGACAGTTCACTCAAGTCTAGTGGCCTGAGTCCAGAGTGGAATACTGAATCCAGCAGGCCAGAACCCAGTGTTGTCTGCTGGAAGATTCCCAGGAAAGGGAGCTTGGGTTAGTTCAGTGGCAACTGCTTGTTTAGAGTGGTTTCCAGTATGTCTGATGCTCAGGGTGTCTTGGCATTCACCCTCCTGCTCTCTTGTTGGCAGCTTCTAGGACTTGGAGGGTCCTGTTGACCCAAATACTGCAAAAGGGATTTGATTGTCCAGGTGGCTGTGCTCCTTTCCACAGTAAAACTGGGATTTCTGAGGCTGCTTTTCTTGAGTGTTATGAAAAGATGTACACTGGAGGTATACTTGCATACTGTAATGAGCAAGACTGCTAATTTCTAGTCTAGTTTAGTTTGAAAAAAAAACAAAACACAATTAAATTCCTTCCCAAAATACAGAAAGGTAGTGATTCTGAAATTTAGAATCTGAAAATATGACTGTGTGTTAGATCATGTGTTCCTCACTCTTGAGCACAGGATTATTCTTTATCATATGTTCCCAACATCCTGGATCATTGTAACATGTCTTTGCATCTTCTATTCTTCCATTTAGATTAGGTTGCCTTTGCCAGTCTTGTGTGCTCCTCTGTGCAGTCAGCCTTTGCTCCTTCATAGCTCACTAGATCATAGACCACTTTCCACACCCATTAACTAGTTTTACTTCTCTAATGGATGCAATTCATGCTTTCTTCTGAAGCCATTTCTTCCTAACCTTGTAGCATTTGTCCTTCTTTGTGTGCTTATTTGCCACCTCCAATGTCTGTGCCACAATGCTAAATAGAAAACTCCTGGTGACAGATTTGCAAAACTATAAGCAACATAAATTCAAAGTGGTGCTTTCTGCTTGCACTAGAAATACAGACATGTGAGTCATCAGTTCTGAAAGCTACCACGGTATTAGTGCAGTCGTGTGTACAACAGATTATTACTTAGTTACTGGTCTGTCTTGTATCAGTTTAAAGGTTATGCTTTTATGTGCTTCAAGCTGAAGTGCAGAATTGAGGCAATGCAGTTTTGACAAACTACACAACTGCTTTGATTTGTAGGCTAGTAACTGATTTTGTAAAGACAGAATTCTTCTATCATGTAATGGAAGTAAATTAGCACTTGAGAAGCAGGGCTCTTGAAGATTAACTATGACTGAAAGACTAATGGTAGATATGCTCTGAACTTCAGGGCTTTAGGGGGGTAAATTTCTGAAGGTGTTACCTAAGGCTTTCAAAACCACTTAGGCACTTAATCTCCTGCTGCAGGCTCTAGGGAATTAAATTACAATGTTTCTCTGAAAATCTCTTAAGTGTTGTGTGCACCTCTAGGGGTCCAGCTATCTGGCTCCAGTGCCACTTGCTGCATGTTTACATGTAAACAGTTTGCTTTATTAACTTATTTAACAAAACTTATATTCTGATAATGTTTAATTTTCCACTACTCATCCTCTCATACCTCTACTGCCTTTCAGCTGCAAATAACCTGCATTTTGTAATGATGGCATATAAATTCAGCCTGACAAAGAATATGGAACTGTCTGTAAAACTCGTGTCTAGCTTCAGCTTTTCTCTCCTCCAGCTGTTCGTGACTTTTGCAGGAGTCCCTGCAGATTTGAGCTGGTTTGAGCTAACACTTCTAAAAAACTCAAGAAAGATGTTAAGATGCCCTTCCTGGACTGTGTCTAGTTTGTCAAGACTGCCACCCTTGATAGCAATTTGTAGTTCCAGCTCTCCTAATTTGGAAATCCGAATGTCATTGACTGAAGTCAGTGGGAAAGATGGTTTCATGTCTGGACAACCAAGTACTCAAATTATGCCTTTAGTGACAGCAGTGCTGCCTGAGTCTCAAAAAGATTTTCTTTATCAAAGATTTTTCTTAGTGTTCTATAAACCATTAAAAAAAAAACCCAACTTGTTACTACTTGATATCAAAAGGAAATACTCAAAAGAGTATTTCTAAGCTCATTCAGTGAGTTGATTATTAAAATATATTGATTACTAGAAGAGTGCTGGCATCCATAACATTCCCATGGAAAATTACCATGACTTAAAATAGCTTCAGCAAAAAAATAGTAACTAGTGCTGGCTTTTAAAACCTACTGTAGATAAACTATAGGGTTTCCTTTCATTCTGATCATAATGGTTGCTGAAAACCAATTTGCTGTTAAGAACTCAAACAGTTCTACTTTCATGCTTACTGTATTTTTCTTTTCCCTTCTCAGCAATGGAGAACCTTCTGAAAAAAGATTTCGCATGAACAGCTTTGTGGCAGATTTTGGAAGACCTCTGGAGTCAGAGAGGGTCTTTTCACATCAAATAGCTGAGGAATCCCGGTCACTTTTCCATTTCTGTATTAATGAGGTGGAACATTTGGATAAAGCAAAACAAAGTCAGAAGGGTCTGGGTCTAGAGAGTAATACCTACTTCCAGGAAGTTCCCAGGAGCAGTGGAATGTTTGAGGAGGACCTAAATTGTCTTACAAAATTTAACATTCCTAACTTTGTGAACACGGATCAGAACTCTTCAGCAGGTGAGGATGAGCTCCTCATCTCAGAGCCACCAATCATTTTGGAAAGCAAATCGGTCGTGCAATCTTCCCATCGGATCCTTGACTGAAAACTTTAAGGTAAACATTCCTGTTGCTGTCCAGTTTGAAGCCTTCCTTGGCCTTCTGGTATTTTGTTAGAAGCTATTTCATAACTGTGGTTTTTTCTTGTATGCAAGACTGCCTGTGCTGACAGAATTCCATTTAGTTAAAAGAAAAACATGCTTTATTCTGAGGCCTTCTGTGGTCTGAACCTTTTGCCCAGCATTGTTTTAGCCTCCTGAGTTTTTGAGTTGTGTTTGTTTGTTTTATTCTGTGTTTTTAAATGACTGCTTATGTCCAGCTTCTGAAGGATATCACAGTAATTTGTGGGGACTGTGAAGGCTGGAGTGTGGCATTGTTAGGAGTATGAAAACTCCTTGGCCAAGAAACGTATAATCCTCAAATTAAGAATGAAGCAAAGAATAAACAAGCAGCCCCTGGGGAGGTTCTGCAGCTTCCACCATTCCCAAAAAGGACACCTGAAAGTGAGCAGCATAATAGATATCTGCTTGGCATTAACTTCAAATTCTGATTTCTAGCTGCTTTTTGGTGCAGGTCAAACTCAACCTATCAAGCTTATAGGGGGAATACTTCTCATATCAAACTGTTTATTTTTTAACAAAATACCACCACCTGCTGCTTAGTGAAAGCAAATTGGTGCCTGTAATTCTAGTACTTCAGAGTGGTGTTCTGAGAGCTGCCTAGTGATGACCTGAAACTAGTGTTCTACACACAGAATAATTTAATATTTTTTTTTTCAAGTTGTTGATGGAACTTCCAGTTTGCCAAGTGCAGGATTCAGTAGCTAAATCACAGGAAAACAGATTAAAACAATTTTTCTTTTGCCAGTAGAGTTACTATATGCAAATAAATGGTGGTGATATGTTAAGCTTCATATACTTTTTGGCTCTATAAATGGCTCTTTCTTGACTAGTGGGCCAGTGAAGGGCTAGCAGGCTTTGAGTTGTTGAGAAGACCAGCTCCAAAGTCATAGCTGAGCTGCACTTGCTCCATCTTCTTTTTGTACTCAGTTGGGATGATGTTGGAACCACAGCTGTTCTGGTTGGTTAAGGGATTGAAGCATTTTTTCTGAGAGGAATAAGGTTCTGAATATATGCCAGTACTTAAATTATGTTTCAGCTTTCTTCAAAAGATGGGTAGCTAATGGCTAAATGGTTTTAGGGCAAGCACATAGGATGCAGAGTAATCAGGGTCAATTCCTTTGCTGGATTTGGAGTAAGGGTGCTCTGGAGGAAGTTATTAATTGAAACTAGTGGATCCAGGATCCTGTGCTTAACTGTTTTTTCTTGAAACTAACCTATTTTATATACAACATGTGTCAGAGTGAAAATGTAGCAATGGCCTGCTGATACATCCTTCAGATGCTTAAATGCTGATTAATTAATTCTTCCTTCACCTGACAAATAAAAAAATTGCAAAAGGGTTGTGCATTTAAAGAATACAAGGAGTGGGGGGAAACATCTTGTTTTCATCTGCTGTGCCCTTATTATAAATCACTTATATCTACATTTCCTCTTTTCAAATGCAATTCTTGCACTACTTCCCAGTGTTTAAAGGAATGGGATTATACTTAAAGCAAAGCAGAAACTTTTTAAAACTAGCAGATTATTGTTGAAAATAGTTCCCAAAAAAAAGTCTGAAGTGAAACTTCCTTTTACAGTAAGTACTAACCAGGAGTGAATATGAAAGCTGGAGGTATGGAATTCCCTTTTCTCTTCCCAAATTAAGAGATTTGGGAAATCTGCCTTCTGAGTGTGGCACCTCAAACAACTCTTTGCTATCTAAAGGTTAAGCTTTTGTCCAAACTGAAGGTCAGTATTATTCCTGCTAACAAGCTGTGGGGCTTCTATTAAATATGGCTTTTATAGCCTGTTTCTGGATGAGTGAGCTGCCTTCAGTGATGTTTGATCTATTATTTTTATTTTTTTTTCCTTGGCCATGATTGAAAACAGCAATAAAGCTTAAATGAGGGAAAAATCTGTGTAGAAGAAATATCCCATTTCCTCTGCAATTGAGAAATGAAGCCTATTCTTAAAGCACTTAGAACTAGATTTCAGAATAATGCAGATCTGGTTTTAGAAAAAGAAAAGCTTGCTATTCCCAGTGGGCTAACCTAAGTTTTCTTCTGCTGCCTTACATCTTTATGGTCTTTGTTTCAGTGCATAACTGCTGCTTTGGGGAGAAAGGAGAAGGATTCATGTGTATGATGCTAGTGACACTTAACACCTAGGTGAAGGATACCTAATAAAATGATTAAGGGATTATACCAACTTAATTTACCACACATTTGCATTGTGTTCTTATGTGAAGCTTGTGTTATTTCTGTAAAGGCACGTATGTGTTTGGTTCTTCTGTTTTTCCCTGATGGTTCTACTTTTTCCATCTTACTTCTCTTCTACCTTTAAAGTTCTTCACTCCACTTTTTACAGAAAAATAACCTAGCATCTCCCACTTTACAGATCCCACATGACTTCAGAAGCACAAAGGCAACAATACAGTCTGATTCAGATGTTTGCTCTGTCTCTGCATTAGAGCAGCATCAAAGCGAAACACAAAGTTTTTGCAGCTTTCAAAAGCAGTTACTTTACAGCTGTTCTTTTTTATTTTTCTTTCCCTTTGAAAGAACTAATAGACATGATGTTTTGCCTCAGAAGAAAGGAAATTGGCATAATAACCAGCTTTATATACCCCATTAAAAAAAATAAATCCATCTTTTCCCAGTAAATAAGTTAGAAATGTTTTGATTTTTTTTTTCAAAGGGTAATCCTTAAAAAGCAAATACCCTGAATTTAATAGTGTTTGAAAACAAAATTATTGCAAGTTTTCTTACTGCTTGGGCTATTTGAGAGCCTGATCTCAAAATTCACTATAAATGCACAACCTGTGGTAGATTTAACTTCAGAGTTCCCCCAAGATAAATACATATGTTTGTTTGCATAAACATGTATTGTATTCTGTAAGAACTTACTATGTATTCCAGTTTTCAAAGATGAACATTTGTGAACTGTTTTTCTGTGCAAAGTTTTTAATTGTGTATCTCTAAAAAAATATAAAATCAAAACCAAACAATGAACTCTACAGCCTACATTCAGAAAATGCCTGCTTATAAAGAAACAAATGAAAAGGTATAACCATGAACTTCTGTACTAAAATCCAGTGATCTGTGGTCTCTGAGGCTGAAAGGTTGAAGTTTGTCATGTTTCTCATGCAACGTAGTATTTATGCACCTGAGCAGCAGATCTTGAATATTTAATAATGACTTTTTTGTGATGCTGTGGTTAAAAGAACCCCACAACACCCTTCACAAGTTACTGGCAAAGGTGGAATTCAAGTGTGCTTTTTTGCTTTCCTCCTGGTAGTGAAAGCTGATAAATAAATCAACTGGAGCTACTGTAGATCTGGACTGAACTTACTCATTAGCCTCAGGTATTGACAGGCAGCAGGGACAGCACAGAGCCATGTTTTCCAACCACATATTCTCTGAAAAGATCAAGAGTTGGAGACCTGTACTTCCTTATTTTTTGCCAAGAGGCATGTAGTTAGCAGTAGGAAAGGCTAAACATTACCTAAGTTATCAGAGGGCTTTCTGTTCAAAAGAGTCATGGCAGCACTTGATGCATGGCCTCCCTTTCCTGCATAACTGGATTTGCACAGCTGGTGCTAGTATGCAGAGCTCTCTTCCATCTTTTCCTAGAGCAGATTAAATACTGGATATAGTGACAGAGTTAAAAATGTATTATTTACTATCAAATAAAGTCTCGATCCATAACCTATTTTGCTGCATGAACAAGTTTGACATGTATTTCAGAAAGCTTGAAATAGAACACACTGTCGATGTCTCTGCCACAAATGCCATAATGAGGTCTGATATTCTTTTGCACACCCTATTTTCCTCTCTTGAAATAAAGGTCTTGTCTGTAATCTAGGTCACTGAGGCTCCCAGCCAGCTGCTCATGTCATTTCCTAAAAGCTTTAAGCACGACAGTTCAAATTATTATACTCCAGCTGCTTTGCTGTAAACAAATGAACTCCAGCTAAACATGCGGCAATGATTCAAAGACATTATAAAATCTTTTTAGTCCATTCACTATAATGCCTCCTGGAAATGCTTGATGAAATAGGCATAAGAAAAGGAAAGCCATAAAAAGGAGTATATAATTCTATCAATTACCCTCTGAAATATCCCGCTGAAATCCTCAGTGGAATACAGTAAGAGCTAAGGACCTGTTTTGTCAGCCTTTACTCCGTGTTTCAGGGTATTTTTCCCTTTCTGTACTGTAAAGACTGCTGGAGAGTCAAAGACTTCAGCAGAAAAGTTAAAAGTTGGGCCTTACTTCTCCAAAAAGGCCACATTTATTACAGCCATTCAAGACCAGAGAGAGTCTGTTACTGCCCAGAGTGCCAGTCCACAGCAAATGCCTTCAATATTTATTACAGCCATTCAAGACCAGAGAGTGTTACTGTCCAGAGTGCCAGTCCACAGCAAATGCCTTCAAACGCTGCTTCTGGGAATGCACAACTACATAAATACGTGTGAACACAGTATGAATCATATTACAGCAGTAGTAAATAATACTGTCCTTACACAGTAAAATAGATTGGGAGAGAGAATTTAATCTGAAGTTTAATTCAGACTATGTAAGACACCTACATTTGCTGAGAACTGAATGTCAGAATTCTAAGAGATGTTTGAATGAACTGCATGAACACTGAGAACACTCCCTCTGGGTGACCTAAGGGATTATATGTTTGAGAGAGTGAGTTCCAGCAACAAGAAATGCTTCCCCTAGCCCTTCCTGTCCCAGGCAGTACCCCAGCATACTTACATCCAGGACCTGGCTCCTCTGGGAACACAAGGGTTGCTTTCATTTCAAAAACCTCACTTTGGGGTCACATGCTTTAATGTATAGCATAATGTACAGTGTTATATGTATAGCGAATTGTACAGAAAATAAGTGGAAGTTGAAATGACTCAGTTTTATCCTTTTCATTTGCAAACCAGTTCTAAATAAAGAAAAATACAGTATATTTACATATAGCTGATATTTTATATACACAGCATTATTGTTTTTACACATTTTATGACTAATGATTCATCACTGAGGGAAAAAAATTCCAAACTAAAAATACTGAAAATATCTGAATATTAAACAACCATGATTACTATCATTAATTGGCAGCTGAGTATCTCTTTTTAATATCTATGTGTACACATTCTGTCTCACTTTGTGTATGTATATGCCAAAAAAAAATAATCCTTGTACTGTTGATTACTGTCTGTGCTTATACACCATATAAGTTTATAAAAAAATACATATATTGTTCTTTATCCAGGCTCAGTCACGATTCTATAATCCAAAATGCACATTTACTGCTGATCCCTGAAGAAGCATGATATATAAATACATAAATTGACAGACCTGAACTACACCACATTTAACTTAAAAACTAGCTTAAACCAAGGACATGAAGAGTACATTCTAACTTTTATCTTCTCTTTGCCCAAAATGAAGGTATAGTTGATTGATCTACAACCTCAATATATGTGCTGTGGAATTCTTATGGACTTCTAGTGCTGAGTCTTCAAACTGATGTACCAATAGTACCAATGTACTGATTTTAATATTTGAAAACCTGTCATTACAGCTACCAAACAGCTGGCTAGACTGCCTTTTCCTTACTAGAATCTGACTTAACTGTTTCTCCCTTTTCTCTCCTCATAGCAGCAGTTTTTTTCACGGGACCAGCACAACAGCCATCCCCATCTTCCCTCCTGTCTCCTCTGCAGCAGGGCAGCCCTGGTGTCTTCAGTGGTTCCTAAGGCTGTGTCTTCTAGACTGCTGATTTTTCTGTTCCCTCCAGCTAGTCCATCTTTCTTCTGAAACAAGGGACCAAAAGCTTAGCACACTGAGGCCATACGATTCATGCTGCAGTAGCAACTGCCCCTATGCTGTCTAGTATCTTAGCAGGCTCCACTCTCAGATGTAACTCCCACAGGGCGCAGGAAGAGAGGGAGAAGGCAAAGATCTCTCTCAGGTTCATCTTGGTACCTGCTATGAGGCCTGTCAGTGCAACAGAAAGATCCATATTCTGTATTTGTGTGGTAAATAATTTCTGCTCAAGCATATTACTCTCTGTCACTCCTGAAGACTATTGTGTTTTGGTTTGGTTTTGTTGTTTTTTTTAATCTGGCCCCTTTTCCAATTTGCTCAGCATTTTAAGTCTCAATTTGCCCACCAACACATCCCTGCAGTTGAGCTTTTCTCCCTTGTCTTCCTGTTTGATTGGCCTCTTTATTCAGCAAAGATGATCTATGAAGATGGTACTTGAGCAGATCCAGAACGGCCCTTTGTAAAAATCTTGCTCAGAACAGCCTTCCCTTTTAAAAAGGACACCAGTAACTGCCCTCACACTGTACTTCACAGGCTTTTTTCACATCTTCCCCATAACAGTTCAGCTAGATCACTCTGCCATCATTCTTACCAGCACTGTTGGGAATTTCTGCAAAGTAAACAGAATAGCTTGAATTTGAACATCAGCAAAGAAGGCCTGTTCTGCTCCAGCCCTCCAGTCATTCACAAAGTTGAAAGGGGTCTTAAGGGAAGGAACATTTTATGTATTAGAGGAAGAGAAGCAAAATGTTTGAAAAAAGACTAAAAACATAAGCAAACTGCTTATTGCTCAAGTTGTTCACAAAGGAATCACTGTAAGACAAGTTATAAACAAAAGTTAAAAATAGTCAGGCATATTCTACGGTATTTGAAAAAGCATCATATGGAATTTCTCAGTGGCAAGGGAGTTTATGAAATAACCTTCATATTCCTAATACTTTAAAAAAAATGCATGTAACTTTATTTATAATGAAATATAAAATGTAGAATATGCACAGTTGCTTAGTGCAAACCTACCCTTGGACAAGCAAGATTCCAGATAAGATCAGAATGCAATTCAAGTTACAAGTGTTCTATTAATGATTTTTAACAATATTTTCTTTATATAACTTTGAATAATAAAGTCCTGCCTCTCTAACCAACTCCTACCTAGTCATGTCTTCCAACAGCTGTCTGTCACGCCAAATCCATTGGAATTAGGTGCAGGAATAACCACCCCTTGTTTCTGCAGTTCACGTAAAACGTCCAATATTGAATCCAGTTCCACGCGGAATCTCTCCAGTTCCTGATTCTTCCTTTGGGCCAGTCTTCGCCACTTCTCCACCTCCTGGCTGTGTCTTGCCTCACTCACATGCTGTGCCCGTTGGGCTGCCTGCACGTTAGAAGCAAGGCAGCACAATGTGACTTTCTAGGCAGATACTCAGCCAGCCCTGCCCCTTTGGCAATAAATTACTTTAAATATGTGTATTAATGACAGAAGGGCAGGATTATTACTGACTCATGAGTCACAGGAGAATTATCTTTCATCCTTTCCAAAGCAGCAATTAAAAGTTTCAATATTTAGGACAAAGCTGAGCATGTAACATAAAACCCTCCAATAAAAATTAACCTTTTGAATTGCTAAGTAAGTGTGTTAATTAAAAGAACACTTGCAAGAGAAAAGAAATCTGAATTATGTGTTTTGGGAGGGAAAATATCCTGTAGTGACAAAGGTCTGAAGCTGCTGCAGATAAAAGTTTGAATTATTTTTGGCATGTATCCATGGCATAATCCTATTCAATTACCCCAAATCAAAAGTGTCACAAGGTATCAAAATTTCCACAGCACTACTAATTGTAATAGTCTTTAAGCTCTATCAGCTAAAGGCCATAAAATGACTGTATTTGTAGTCTGAGAGTTAAGGATAACCTGTTACATTTCCTTGTTCAACTATTCGTTTTTCTACACTGTTCAGTTTGTTATTGTCTGGGGGACTGTTCAGTGCCCCACTGCAGATTATTTTAGGTGCAAAACTAGGACAAACAGAACCCAATACTTAATACATAACAAGGCTAGTAGCACCAGGAAAGATGAAATTACTTAGCAGTTGTTGCACATCAAATTTTTAATTTTTTTTTTTAAACATCATGGTAAATTCTATTGGCCAGGTAATGAATTCAGTAGAGCTTGATCACAGATGAGGCAGCAGCAGATACTTTGCAGAAATGGTAAAAAAAATCTCTAATTATACAAAAGGAAATTAGTAGCATTTTAAAAAGTAACTATGATAGTTGCCTTTAGCAGGACAGAATGTGAACAGAAAGATTAAAATCACCAGTGGTTGCAAAGTTTGTTCTTAATCCAGTGACTTGTTTTATACACAGATCTTTTTGGGAAGGAAAGTAAATACCCGACGTGGAAATGTATGAGGATAAAACCTACCAGAAACAATGCTGTACTTAAAAGTGTGTTCCTTGACACCTCGTTTCAAATCTAGAACAAACTCCACAAACTAAGAACCACTATGAGTTTGATGATCTTCCAGTCCAACTGCCCTTCAACTTCAAATATTTAAGGTAAAACACTAACAAAAGACAGTTGTGTATGTAAGTGATGAAAGTACTGAGAAAAAAATCTTTATGAACTAGAACAGAAAACTGTTTCCAGATGATAGAAGCTCCCCAGATTAGATGAAAAATCAGGATAGAGGCCATGACATAACAGAAGATAAAAAAGTCAATGCAGCATTGTTTTGCCCTTTCAAGGGACACATGTCAGATACAAGATACAGCCTTCAAAATCAAAAAGAAGGAGAATAAAGACTTTTGTTGTTGTTTTGGGTATTAAAGTCAGTACATGATGTTTCTCTACTTCTAATGCTGCTTTTCTAAATGGGACTTTGAGGGCTAGAAAATAAAATTACAGTTCAATTGAGGAATACGTCATAGCTTAACTAACTTCATTACAAACTCTCACCAATTTTTCATAGCTAGCTTTCATCCTGTCATTGAAATATGAAACAACTGGCTGATTCAGGGGGCTTCCAGAGGTCAGGTGGTCCAACCCTCTGCAAAATCAAGGCCTCCTTAGATCACGTTGTGAGGAAGTTACGCACCAGATACATAAGTTGTGCACAAGTAACTGGAGTTCCCACAGCAAGGAGGTGCTGGCAAGGGCTGCATCTACATTCATGTGCACCAGCAGGTCCCAAAGACAAAACCATGGCTCTGTGAAAAGGTACTTGCCCCCTGCAGTGTGAGCTAAACAAGCCTGTGCAAGGACCATAAAACTACAGTTAAACCAATCAATTGCATAAGTAAATGCTGATATACTGTGGTGTACCTTTTGAATTTCTTGCTCTCTTTCTGCATGTCTGGTCTCCATATGCTTGATTTTCTTTTCCAGGCACAAGAAATGTTTCATTTCAGGGCTCTGACTCTCCTTAGCCTCTCTCAGTTCTTCCAACAATTTTGACACCTAAAGTTTGAGATAATTGATTAAAATTGTTACCATTAAGTGTTAAGCAGTGGTTAAGATTCCTTTCAAAGTGTATTTGCATTGTTTAATCATTCCACTCAAAATCTGCAGAAAGGAAGACATACATCTCCTGTATTCACACAACAGGGGCTCAGGGACTTAGGTTAGGGCCTTCATTTGTAATGAGTGGCCTAAGGAGATGAAAATCTTGTCCTTTTTGATAAACCCAATCCTGTTCATAATATGTGATGACGTGATTATTCACAGTCAATTTTCATACTTCTAAACATACTAAAAAATGAATAGATTTGGGGTTTTTCAGCCTGGAGAGGAGAAGGCTCCAGGGAGAACTTACAGTGGCCTTCCAGTACCTGAAGGGGCTACAGGAAAGCTGGGGAGGGGCTTCTTATAAGGGCCTGTAGTGATAGGACAAGGGGTAATGGATCAAAACTGGAAGAGGGGAGATTCAGGTTAGACATTAGGAAGAAATTCTTCAGTGTGAGGGTGGTGAGACATTGGCACAGGTTTCCCAGGGAAGCTGTGGATGCCCCATCCCTGGAAGTGTTCAAGGCCAGGCTGGATGGGGTTCTGAGCAACCTGGTCTAGTGGAAGGTGTCCCTGCCCATGCAAGGGGGTTAGAACTAGATGATCTTTAAGGTCCCTTCCAACCCAAAACATTCTTTGATTCTATGAATTAGATGTTATTATTAGATGTTCTTACACAATCTCTTCTCATATCCTGGATAAAGATCAAATATAAAATGTACCAGTGTATTTCTAAGGAATAAATTAAGAAAAGACATGGTGATAATGCACATTATTACAAACCCTTTTGGCCTAATAATTGCCAGGCCAAGTCAAATCTACCGATCGCTTAAAACTAATTTCCTAAACCTCCAGAAATTCAGGTAAGCTTTCTTATAAATCCCTACTGGTTTAGTCTCATTCTTTGCCCATTTTAAGTAACTTGTTATTTCTTCATGTAACATCCTGGGTTTTTTTGGTCACGTTCTTAACATGGTAAATTAAACTAAAGTGAAAGCTTTGTAGTTTTTATTCTTTATTATAACTCCTAACTCCCCATACCCAATATATCTGCAGACTGCAAACCCTCCTCAAGCACTCAGGCATCCTTGGCTCTCTGCTGCTGAGCTCAAGCAGCTGAAAGCAGTGTGTACTTCAATGGATGTTGCCACTCTTATTGAGAAGTGATTCCAAGATGGCTTACTATTATTTCCATTTTTCAGTGTGGTTTTCTAAAATAATAAGGCCTTTGTTGCTGCATTTTTCCTGTCCATTTCTCCAGTGGCTTTGAACCTGTGGGCCAATTTCAGCCACATTTGTCACAGAAGCAGAAGTCTTAGTTTCATGAGTCCTGTGAAAATAAAGTGTTTGCTGCTTGTCTGCTAAGCTTCCCCACTGAAGGAAAGAGCTGACGTGTGATCTCAAGTACATGATTAAATTTGAGAAAAGTTCAGGCAGGAAATATGTTAATGAGGAGGAAAAATCCCCAGGGTTAATATAGGCTTTGTATATTCTTGCCAGAAATAGAACTATGTTAAATACAAAGCTGTGCTACGTGCAAGCTGTTATGTAGTTAATGGAAAACATCCATGAAGAGCATAACATTGATGTTCAAGGAACAATCTTCCAATGACCCTCAGGAAAGAACTTTGCCTTTTTTGAGGTACCACCATTTTAGAGAGAGGAGTCTCAATCTCATTGCCAATGGTAGTGCTTTTTCCTATCACAACTAATTATATTTACAGGTTTGCTTGCCTTCTTTTTTTCAGCTCAACTTATTTAAACATTTAATGCTTAAAATGCATTTTTAAAGCAGCAGAGATTATTACTTAAATAAAACAGTCATACTAGAGGGCAAAAGCAAGGCTTTACTTTGACATTTCTCTCTGTATAGTCCAGCAATGATTTTGGTAGCAAAGGTGCTCCACTCCTTTTTCTTAAATGCCAGCACCTCAAACTCAGCCTGTAACCTGTGGGTCAGACAGCATGACCATCCTCTTAACCAGCACTGTCATTAATAATCTGTAAAGCAAACAGGCACAGAAGAAACAAAACTGTTGAATAATTTTGTCTCATAGTACTCTACCCCTGTTCTCCCAGGAGGAAGTATTACATATACACTGGGGTCACTGGAGTGAAACCATCTTTGTATGGAAAGGCAACATGTGTTACTAGATTCATAATATGAACTCCAAGTCTCAGCCTTTATTCTGGAGATACAGAGCTTGCTTAATAGGACATCTTCTTTCTCTCCCTATGAACTCTCTTCATTTCTATAAATACTTCACAACAGAGGTGGAATTTTTAATGGATAAGATAGTCTCACTGACCTAATTCAGTATTAAAGATTAATTATATTAAGTACATAGTAAAAACACACTGAAAATTCATTTCTAAGTAAACAGGGTTAAGCAAGCAGGATTAAATGTCTGGAGTTCTCAGTCCCTTACAGAATAGAAGAACTCTTTTCAATAACTTTTGCAGGTTAATTACTGTATTATGAAAATGAAGTTAAAATTAGCAATGTTCCTGCACCAAGGATTTGGTAAATGAAGCATAAGTGCAATGCTTGGACAGGCTGTATTCTCCTCCTGACCAGGTGATAGAAAGATTGGCAGCATTTTAAGGATGCCAAAAACATAGCCAATATTTCAAAAAACTTGAGCTAAAAGACAGACAGCAATTTTACACAATATTAACCCAAAAATAAAAGCATGAACAAGTCTAATTTTTAGATTACATCAACAGAAGTAGATTAGGAAAGAAAAAGATGCCTCTCAAACCAGTGAATTTCAGAACTACTACAACTAACATTCTTTTTGAGACCTCAAGGTTCATAGATATCAAAGGAGAAACCAAATAATTGCCTAAGTCAGTTTTATAGCAATGAAGGAAGAAATTTTCAAATAATAATAATAATTTTCAAATAATAGTGAAACAGCCTCTTAATAAAGAAAAAGTCCCGTGGTCTATCTACTATCCATCACAACTCAAAGAGGAGGCTATGAATGCTTGGATTAATCTGTTGATCAATTTTAATACAGATGTCAGACACATCTAACTTCTTAAGAGTAATAATTAATAATAGTTAATAATAACAGAGTAATTATAGCAATAATAATAGCAATAATAATAGTAACATGCTAATAGGAGGTCAAAGTTATACCTTCTGAGCTGTGTTCTCTGTTTTACATTAGGAAAATGTACTGAATTCTTAGGTATACTTGATGTAGAAGCAACAGACAAAGATACCACTTCTAAGACTTACTTCCTATATATTATTTGAGACTGTACACAGAAGAAATTGAAAACTCTTTTATTAGCATAAGGTACCCCCAATCCAAATGGAAACATACCTCCTTTTGCAGGAGTTCCTCTCTCATTTGTGAAAGTAGCAGGGCTTCCTGATGTGTCTGTTGCTCACTGATTTGTTCTTGGAGATGTTTTATTAATATCTACAAAAAGGTTAAAAATAGTCATCATTAACATGACTACCCATGACAACATGTGAAGACCTACACAGGAAAAATATATAACCAGTATTGTAGTACTGCAGGTGTAAATGATGCATATATTAACAATCACAAAATCACTCATGTTGGAGAAGACCTTCAAGATCACCAGGTCCAACCATTAGTCTTACTCTACCAAGTTCAGCACTAAGCCATATTCCCAAATGCCACATGTAGATGACTTTTAAGCACATCCACAGATGGTGACTCAACTACAGGCTAGTCAGCCTCACCTCACCCTGGGATAGCAATGAAACAGCTAATCCTGGAAACCTGACAGGCACATAAAGGACAAGAAGGTGACCAGGAGTAGTAAGGATGGGTTCACAAGGGGGAAGTCATACTTGACCAACCTGACAACCCTCTATGATAAAATGACTGGCTTGGCAGACAAGGGGAAAGCAGTGGATATTGCCTACCTGGAATTCAGTAGGAAGGCTTTCAACACTGTCTCCTGCAAGATCCTCAGAGAAGCTGATGAAGTATGGGTTGGATGAGCAGACAGTGAGGTGGACTACAGATTGACTTACATGGTTGGGCCAAATGGTAGCAATGGGTGTAACGAAGTCCAGTTGGTGACCAGTCACTCAGGTATGTGGTGTGTAAAATTGTCAATTCTGGGTCCAATCCTGGTCAAGACCTTAATTAACGATCAGGATGATGGGGCAGAATGCAGCCTCAGCAAGTTTGTTGATTGTATAAAACTGGAAGGAGTGGCTGACACACCAGAGGATTGTGCTGCTATCCAGAGGGTCTCTGACAGGCTGGAGTAATAGCCTCACAGGAATCTCATGAACTTCAACAAAGGGAAGTGCAAAGTCCTGCTCTTGGTGAGGAACAAGCCCAGGCACCAGTGTATGTTTGGGGCCACCCACCTAAAGAGCAGCTTTGCATAAAAGGACCTGGGTGTCCTGGGGGATACCAAGTTGAACAAAAGGCTAAGGGTATCCTGGGCTACACTAGTATGAATGTTGCCAGCTGGCTGAGGAAGGTGGTCCTTCCCTTCTACTCAGCTCTGGTGAAGCCACACCTGCAGTTCTGTGTCCAGTTCTGAGTTCCCCAGTGCAAGAGACATAGAGCTACTGGAGAGTCCACAAAGGGCCATTCAAGATGATTAAGGGACTGGAGCATCTCTCACATAAGGAAAGGCTCAGAGAGCTGAGACTGTTTAGCCTGGAGGAGAGAAGGCTCAGGGAGATCTCATCAATGTTTACAAATATCTGAAGAGAGGGTGCAAAGCCTCTCTTTGCACAGAACCAGGCTCCTTCCAGTGGTATCCAGTGACAGTGAAGCAGCAAAGGCCACAAGCTGAAATGCAGGAGGTTCTGTCTAAAGATAAGGAAAACTTCTTTACTGTGAAAGTGACCACGCACTTCTTTGGGTCTCTAAGCTCAGAGAGGTTGTGGAATATCCCTCCTGGGGGCGATATTCAAAAGCCATCTGGACATGGGCCTGAGCAGCTGGCTCTAGATGACCCTGCTTGAGCAGGGGGGTTGGACAAGATGACCTCCAGAGCTTCCTTCCAACCTCAGCCATTGCAAGATTCTGTGAGTACAGTGGCACAGGGCCATTTTTGAAACAACAGATCCTACTTCAAAGAAAGAACAAGTATATAGTAATCTAGAAATAAATAACTTGAACAATATCTATATGTGATGACTGTATCTACTGTACCTTACCTCTTGTGTTGAAATTCTGCTGTTTAGTTCAGCTACTTTAGAGGTAGAATGCTCCTTTGCATACTGGCAAAGAATTTTCTCCACCTCCCTCTGGTGGGAAGCCTTCAGAGATGCAATGTATTCTTCTGTGTCTTCCTGTATCCTGAACAGAGTGAAAGGAAAATAATGTAAAGCAGCTACAGACAGTTCTTCAAAAATCCAGCAAAGTTTCTCACTTGAATGTGTATCAAAATCATTCAAGGCAGCATGTCTTTGAATTTCCATAACAAAACCTCATAAGGTAACACCACCACTACTTCTGCTGCTCTGGAGGGATGACAGGGTGGGAAGCCTACAATGTTGATTATATGCCCCATTTAACTAGAGGTAGCTCAAATACAGAAAAGTCAGCCAATCACCTTTTCCTCCTATAAAAAAAAACAGAGGAGAGAAAATAGGCTCATTTAAATCATAACACAGCTGTCTTATTTCAGGTATCTGTTTTAGTACAGCATGTGTTGCAATAGAAATATGCCAGTTTCCTCTGGCTATGAAGGGATCTAAGGGAGACCAAGTGACATGTAAAGTTTCTGCAGTTGGTCAAGCAAATCCCACTGAAAGCACACCCCAGTTTGAAGGAAAGCCTGTGTATCAAATCTTAATGCTATACAGCACAAATAGAAAGCATCTAAAAACCAATGATTTCTACTGAGGTATTTTTACTCAAAACCATGATAAATTGTAGCATTAATAAGGATTAACATAGGTTTGCCTGTAGAAAGAACAAATTGTAGCATTAATAAGAAGGATTAACATAGGTTTGCCTGTAGAAAGAATCATGACATTGCACTGCTCTAAAAAAAACCACCAACCCCAAACAAACAGTAAAAATGAAATTAACCAAGAACATCAGCTAAGTATAAACCAGTTTCACCCATGGCTGACATACTAATGTGTCACTTCAATCCTGTATCAACCAACACTTTAAGAAGGTTTTCAAGGCATTTACCTGCGTATGTTACTTTCAGAATAAGCCAGTGTTGCTTGGGACTTCACCCTCTGCTGGTTCATTTCCAGAGACAATCTTTCCAGCTCCTCTTTCAGCTGTGCATTTTCTTGCAGCACTTCTGAGAGACTGGAATCAGCAAAGGCACGTGGTTGGTGTATTTTGTCATCATTGTAAATGCTTTGAAAGGGCTCACTGGTGCTGGACTTCCTTTCATCTGTTGATGAGTTGTTCTTTTTGAAGATTGCTGTGGAGTTCTCCTTATTATCAGCTCTATTTCTCAAATTATCATCAGACAACATCACCATCCTTTCTTTTTGAAGTTTCTCTACAGTTTTTGTGAGGTCTTGTATTTCCCTATTTTTGGTGACCAGTTCCTCATTTAGCTTTAACAGCCTGTCTTTTGTGTTACCTTGTTTCATTTGAGAGTCTGTAGACTCTAAGTCTTTATTATCCTTTTTACTTCTGAGCTTTAATTGGGAATTTTGACTTTTAAGGTTTTCAATTTCTGTCTGGAGGTTTTTAACAGTGATCTGATGGGTCTTCTTTAGATTCTGAAGCTCCTGTTCAAGTTCTGTAGAACTGGCTTTATCACCATTCAGTTTTGGTGGCTCACTCATGAATTTGTAGGCAAGCAGCTGTTCAAGCTCTGCAAGTCTTTGCTCATACTGTATCTAAAGGAGGGGAGCAGGAGGAGGGGAAGAAAAAGCAGTTTCTTCAAGTATGCTTTTATTATTAGCTCTTCCTATTATTCTTTAAAGTTACTGCACATCTGAAGCAAGATTTCAGAACACAGGATACATCAGTATCACTAACAACACTCTTCAATCATTTCAGAAATTAGGGAGTGAAACAACTGTGAAGCAAACGTAAGTCTACTGTAAAAAAGAATCACTCAAAACATTTACTACAGAGTGATCCTTCCTCACAGTGAGTCCAGTAACTACAGGAAAGAAATTAAATTAACAAGAAACTATTTTATTTTTATATAATTTTTATATAATTGAGTTCTCTTCAGATGTTACCACCTTGGTCGGTCAAAGTAACTTCTTATTTTAGTATAGGAAGAGGTATTTATTTTTTTAAAAATCTGTCATTATGTATTTACAACACGTCAGTTTGCAAACGTTGCTGTCACATAACTCAGAATTGTATTTGACATTTTAAAATACATCTTAAATTTTAACAGGACAGATTTTTATTTTTTACTTCTTTAGAAGTATGAATATAGAAGTGTGAATCCAGAAAGACACAGCATCCTTCTTCCTAATGATCTGAGGAAAACCTTAACACTTCTTAATCACCTGGATACCCTCTGAGGAAAGCACGAGGAGATATTCACATGGAGAAAAGGAGGAACAATGAGCCAGTGCTTTCCTTTCCTGCTCATTCAGCACTTGAGCAGTTCACTTCTTCCTTGAAGGAAACTCCCAGAGTTCCACTGCTTCCTCACACAAGTCTTAAGACTCACGATCATGTCATTTTTGGACAGAGTGTTTCAGTGTTCCCACATGTTCCCTGCAGAAATGCCCAGTCAGCAGCCCTTGGAAACCACAGCCTTTCCTACAGATAGGAATTAGGTAAATAGCTACTCTGACCCACAGGATGAAACCTGTTTACCTTAATTGTAAGAACTAAATGACTACGCCTCAAAAGCTTGTCGTCTCAGTTGCAATTCACAATTCCAATGCTCTTTTTATCTTAGGTGCTAAAGCTACTGAAATTCTGGCTATAAATTCTTGTAATACTTTTTCCCTTGCATGTCACAGAATTGTAGAATTGTTTTGATTGAAAAAGACCTTGAAGATGATCAAGTCCAAGAATTAACCCAGCACTGCTGAGTCCACCACTAAACCACATCCCTCAGCATCCCATCTACACAACTTCTAGCTATCTCCAGAGATGGTGCCTCCACCACCTCCCTGGACAGCCTGTTCCAGTGCCTGACAACCCTTTTGGTAAAGAAATTTTTCCTAATATCCAATCTAAACCTGCCTTGGCAAAACTTGAGGCTGTTCCCACTGTTTCTACTGCTTATTACTTAGTGACCAACACCCACCTGGCTACAACCTCCTCTCAGCTAGTTGTAGAGCACAATATGGTCTCCTCTGAGACTCCTTTTCTCCAGACTGAACAGCCCCAGTTCCCTCAGCTACTCCTCATAAGGCTTGTTCTCTTCCTCAGATTCATTGCCCTTCTCTGGGCATGCTCCAGCACCTCAGTGTCTTTCCTGTAGTGAGGTAAAACGTGGTTTTTGCCTTCAGTTCTCACCACTACTCTGTGCAGGACCTTGTGACTTGCAGAGCAAGACTACTCAAGAAGCCTCCAACTTTTACCTTTATTTTTTGAAACTGTTGTTCCATGGCACGGAGACTTTTTTTAGCTTCATCATCTTTACCTTCAAGTTCTGTTTCTAACTTCTTTATTCTTTTCTCCAAAAAATCAACTGTGTTTGTTTTAGCTGAAAGATCATCAGTCTTCTCAGCAGCAGCAGCAGCATAAATCAAAGCAGGCAAAGAATTTGGATACCTTCTTTTTAGAATTCCTTCCATTTCTCTAACCTATCAAAAAAAGTCAGAAGTGAAAAAAAAAGGTTCTAATGAAAAGTGAAGAGAAATAGGTGACAGTGTTAACAAATGTCAACCACTTAAGCTGAGTGAAAAATGGAAATGAGATATGCAACATGGAGAAATTTTTTACATTATTTACATTTGTTATTTTTTACAGAAAAGCAAGACTCAATCTTTTACTGATTGACTTACACATAATCTTCAACAAAATATTGGTCTGGTCTTTAGATTGTCTTATCTCAACCAGACATTTTATTTACTTTCTTAGCCCTTAAATTGTGTATGGCTCTTAATGCTGCTAAAGTATTTGCTTTTCTTCTGGACTTTCATTCACATTCTACTTTTCCAACTGTTACAGAGATATTTCATAACAGTACTGAAAATACTATTCCAAATTACAGATTATATGCCTTTTATTTTGGAGTCTGCAATAAAATAAAACTAACACCTTGCACGCAAGACTAATAAAAAGCCCCTCTTTTTAACTATGGGCAAGATATTCTTTGCATTAGAGTACTGGAGGCTCTTTTGCATTTGTTTCACATTCCTACCAAATGCAGCTGCCACCTCCAAAAATTCAGAAAGGCCCATTTCTGCCTGACTTTTCCTCAGTAGAGATAGGAATTTTAAGGTCTCTACTCCCCTAGCTTTTTTGCATCTTAAAGGAATTCAGTGAAATTTAAACCCCTGCTCTTGAATCAACTTGGTTGAAATTGGTTATAATGAGTAGGGATTACTGAGCATGGATGGAAGGAGTCTTAGAAGATAAAGAGCAAGCTTGTGTCTGCTTTTCCCCTCTTGCCTCTTTCCAAGAAACTCTCAATGGCATTTTAAAGAATTTAAAATGTAAAAGAATTTAAATTTAAACATTTGAAGAAATTAAATAACATTTTAAAATAATTTAAATTAAAAAAATAAAATAATTTAAACAATTTAAACAATTATCAGTAAATAGCTCATTAGAACATAGTAGCATAAGAGCCCTTTGTAAGTAAATAATTGCAGCTTTTTGTTTGGAGTGTTCCATAGCACAAGTTACTTTATCACAGAGCTTCATTCAATGCTTTATCCTTATGGAATGGCTGGGAAATGTCGTAAGAGACCTTATCTGAAATAAAGGTTAAAGGAAACACAGTCCTATTATTACATACTTGTCGCTCGAGATCCTGAATTCTTTTAGCATCTGCTGCTCTGTCTCGCAAACGTTTCTTCTGCTGCAGACACTGATCTCCAGCTTCAGCTCTCAGCTTCTCTACCTATCCACGTCATGAGAAAATAAATTGAAATATACATGCAGGGACACTATCCTGTAGTAGAAAAGTGAATATCTGAAACATGCACAGTATAATGGCAGTATTCTGCAACTTAAAAACTGCTAACGTTAACTTTTGTACTAACTGTTTTTTCAGGTTTTTAAACTAAGTTACAGCTTCTTCAAGCCACTTAAGGTCAAAGGAGCTGAAACCAGCTACAGAAATCTAGAAGAGAACGTTAGCTCTGGGACCTTCTTGTCTTCAGACCAGTAAACCAGCTTCTTTCTCCCATACTTTCATATTAGTGACAAAGTACTACAGCGTATTACATGGATTCAGGGTGAGTTAAGGAAACAGTTTGTGATTTGCAAGGTAATGTTCTGTGATGAGATATAGAAACAGCCAAAAAGCAATGTTAAATTGTGCCTGAATAAATACTGATTCTCAGGATCAGGAGAAGGAACTGGAAAGCTAACACTCCTACACTCCCCTAAAGTCTGGCCATGAAGTTTTAATTTAAAATTGAATATCCTACCTTGAGCACTGTACAGGGATAATTACACTTTGTATAGTTGGAAGTATTCCTATCTTGATTCCTCTCACACATTGGCATTGTTAGAGCATCAATAATGCTTTTATGCCAGCACAATGTGACAAATTTGATTGTTTTTATGAAGTCAATGCTTTTTATTGTTTTTAAACACTAGGTTTTAAGCATTCTGCACTTCCAGCTTTTTCTGCATATGTAACAGTATCAATTTTACATAAGAGGACTCACATTTTTCTTAAAGGTTGTAAAGAATTTACATGTATTTTTCTTGAAAAAAAATGGGATTGGTACAAAGGACAGGATTACGTTATATTTGTCCCTAGAAAAGTAATAGTTTTAAGTTCCAACTTCTTAGATAAATCTAGATATTACCACCTCTAGTTTTAGTTTCTCAATTTCTTCCCTTGCATCTTTAAGACGAGCTGCATCTTTATCCAGAAGATCTTGATTTTCTGCATACCACTGAAGTCTTCTTTTTAAATGACTTATTTCCTGTTTGTATGATTCTTCCTTAACTTTAAATTCATAAGACTTCTCACCTACAAGAATAAAGCATCTTTAGTATTGTTTTATTAGTAATTATGTATTGAAGCAGTAATGAGTCAATACGATCCTTCTTAGCACATTTCATACATTTACTCTTTTGTCTATTCTTTTACTGCAGAACTGTTTAAAAAAAAGACCCTAAATAGGATTTTAAATACAACAATATTTGAAAAAAAACAACCCACAACAACACCCTTTTACCTCTCATACATAGTAGTAATCAATGTTTCAGAATCAACCATGGAAAGTATTTAAAACAGAATCCCAGGGTGATCTACTCATGATCACACTCCAGTAAACACATTTTCAGTAACAACTCAGATGACAATATAGAATATGTGCTTAGATACCTACTGACCATATTCCTCCCATTTAGGGTTCAAGCACTTTAAGGAGACATGGGGGTAACTGCCTGATATTGGAAGAGAAAGAGTCCAGTTTCCGGTCCTATCTCATGAAGAAACAAAAAATCAAACTGGAAAGAGT